TCTCTCTCTCTCTCTCTCTCTCTCTCTCTCTCTCTCTCTCTCTCTCTCTCTCTCTCTCTCTCTCTCTCTCTGTGTCAGTCTGTGTTTGACCCTCGAAACATTCAGAGCAAAAAGTTCATTTGAGTTTCAAAGGCGCGCACTTTCAAAAACTGTGTTGTTTTTTGATGAAGAAGAACAATGCCTTTGATCGGAGTCAATAAAGCTACGGAAAATGGTGAGAATGATCTTTTATTGAATTTAAAAAAGTTGTCTATTTCTAAAAAAGGTATTTTTTTCTCTAGAATGGGATGATTTAAATTTGCCAGATGAACTACGTAAGATTTACACTCTGTACGTGAATTTTTTTTATTTGTATTGTGTTTAATTTATTTATTTTATAAAAAACGCAGTAACTTTCCAAGGGGAGGGGTTTCAGTCAGACCCGGGTACGAGTCCTGTTCAGAATCTACGGAGCTCTGAAGATCCAGGTGGGTTGTGTAAGATTGTAGAAATTATCTGTGTATATTATTTTTATTGATTAAGGTTTTAATTATTATTTTCTTTTTTTATAAAAAAAAAATCAAAAGCAGCTTTCCGTGTGGTTCAGCCCGATCTGTTCCCCGCCACGATGCCTGACCCGACCGATCCGAACCATCCGTTACCTACACAGACAGACGCGGTCCGACCGAATCCTAATCAGGCCTGCAGAGTACCCACTCTCTGTGTGAGAAGGAGCAGGATCGAGAGGGCTCTCCGACGCAGAGCGGGCCCGCGCGGGTATCTATCAAGAAGAAGAAGAAGAAGTGAGTATATTTTATATTTTTCAACACTGACACGCACGCGTTTTTTTATTAGGAAAGTTATTTATTTATTTTATTTATTTTTAGATCATTCATCCACCGTCGATGAATTGAGGAGTCACTGCCTTCAGACCATCCTGCATTTAACAGAACTCTGCATAAGATTGTTTGAGGAAGAAAATAGCTGAAAAAATGTCTAGTTTGTCAAATCATATTGATCATGTTGAAATAAATTATTTTCACGAGTTAGAACAGGCTTTACAAAATCTTATTCAACAGAACTCTCTGTCAACCTCAGAAGCTAATGACATTTCTGTTCTGAGTCAATCGTTACAAAATGTTTTAAATAGCGCTGAACAGAATTCACCCCCAGGTTCGCCAAATCAGACAGRAACTCTAATTCAAGCATTACGTGACGAAATTGTGGGACAACAACAACAACAGTCTGATCAGGACCACTTCGAAACTCTTCAAATTAACAGCACAACTCTGGACCAGACTCCAATCGGTTTGCTTGTTAACTCATTAAAAAATTCATTATCTGGACTTAGAAACGCTGCCGCTGCTGCAGGTGCTGCTGCAGGTGCTGCTGATGATAGCGCTCAAAATAGCACACCCGACACGAGGCAATCAACGCACACTGATTTATTTAATATTTTAGATGATGCGTTATTAGCGTTACGAATCGTGCGCTCCCCAGAACAAAACCGTGAACAAGACCCAGATATCCACCCGCAACCCCCCGATCCTTCCCCGCGCCATGTCTCCTCTCTAACTACGGAGGCTGCTTCATCAAACTCGGTTCCTCACAGCCACAGCGCAATCCAGTATGGTGCGGGGATTCATGCTCCTTCACCTCCCTCCTCTCCAGCTCCAGGACCTTCAACTGGTCCAGATCAAAATGAAATATTTCGCGAAAGATTTAATAATTACGAAATCACGAGACGACTCTTCAGTCCCCCGTCTGACGAGCATCCGAGTCTGGCCGATTTCTACACCCAAGTGATGAATATTTASTCAGACTTGGCTGACAGAAGCGCATCGTTAACGGAGCGGGGTAATTTTGTTCAATTGGAGCTTTCAGGAGAAGGCTCTGCGTTAGCGCATCACATAGCTTTCGCCGTAGGAGGAGGAGGAGAAGATAAGTGTGAAATTTCTGAACATTTCGCTGATTTTCTCGACGAATTAATTCAATCAAACGCGCAAATTGAAGCGAACGGAACGTTATAATTTTCCGTTCAAATTGTCAGAAACCAGAAAGGTTGGGGTGGGTCAAAACGTAAACTCAGCTGGACTCTGAATGTCGAACTGTTGCATAAAAAGAGACAACATCTTTACATGGTTGAAAATCAGGAAAATAAAATATGTTTTTCCCTCAGTTTAGCTCACGTGTGTAACCCCACGTTTACAGATGCGCAGGTTTTACAAACCGCTTTGCAATGGCACGCCCAGCTCGGGTTCTCAATTCACACACCTGTCACATTTTCTGACGTGATTAAATTTGAACGTTTGATAAAAAGGAAAGTTGTTGTTTTTTTACAGACCTTCCCCAGACGCAGCGTTGACTAAATTCGAAACAGACTTCTCAGACCGCAGCAGAGCCGTTTTTCTGTTTTTAATGAACGATCATTTTTACGGGGTAAAAATTATAAAACGTTTCCTAGGTGTGAAAAACTTTTGCTATTTCTGCTTCACATCTTTTGAAAACCATCACACGCACCATTGCGAAGGCTTTTGCGGGGTGTGTAATTACGACTCGTGCGTTCTGCGCGAAGCAGAACCGGTTAAATGTCACCTATGTCACAGAACCTGCCGCAATGCAACCTGTTTTCAGAATCATCTGATCCCCATAGAAAGGCCCGTGGTTAAAAAATTTGTCAGTCAATGTCAACTTTACAAGAAATGTCTCGATTGTAATCTGATTTACCGAGTCCCGTTAACGGGGCACGTCCAAAGTCACAAATGCGCTTCTCGAAAATTCCCGATCTGTTGTGAAAAGCTGGATCCAGGATGTGATGTAATTCAGGGCAATCACTCGTGTTACATATAACCCGCCTCGCGTGATAAAGATCTGCACAGTAAAATAATATTTTACGATTTCGAAACCTTTTTGAATTCGGAAAAAATACACATCCCGTTTCTAGTGTGCACAAAGATYGTGACAGGAAACGTCTGGTGTTCCTACGGGTTGGACTGCGTCAGAGACTTCCTGTTAAAATTCCGTAGACCTCTGTACAGTGGCTACACGTTTATTGCGCACAACTCGCGTGGTTTCGATTCRTACATCATTCTCAGCTGCATGACAGAGCTCGGTATTTCACCGAGCATCATTATGCAAGGTTCGAAGGTTCTGTGTTTCATTGATCCTGATTACAWTCTGAGATTTCAGGACAGCTTATGTTTTCTGACGATGAGACTGAGCACGTTTCCACAAGCGCTGGGTTTCCCCAACTGTTCAAAAGGCTATTTTCCACACAAATTCTCCTCTCTGGAACATTTAAATTACATAGGAGCATTTCCGGCCGCATCCTGTTTCGACGTGGATAAAATGCCCCCTCAGGAGGTGCAAAAGTTCAATGTGTGGTATAGCAAAGCCAGTCAGAAAACATTCCATTTTGAAAAAGAGTTCATTTTTTATTGTAAAAATGACGTGGACATTCTGCAGAAAGGCTGTTTTAAATTTAGACAGCGGTTTTTTGACGAAACCGGCGTGGACCCGTTCAAGCAAATAACAATCGCGTCCGCGTGCATCAGAGTTTATCAGAGTAACTTTCTTAAGCCTTACACACTGGCCATTCCTAGCCCCACGGACTACATGTATCATAAAACATTTTCAAACATTTCCATTCAATGGCTGGTGTGGATCGCGTATAGCAGAAAAATTCATATTGTTCACGCGCTTAACGCGGGAGAGAAAAAAGTGGGAAATTACTTTGTGGACGGTTTTGCGCAGGTGGGAGGGGTGAACATGGCCTTTGAATTCCTGGGGTGTTTTTTTCACGGTTGTCCAAAATGTTTTGCGCCTCAGTCCAAGTGTCCGTTAAGACGCATTCCGTTCGAAACGATCTACGAAGCCACGAACGAGAAACTGTGAGCTTTGAAAAACGATCACAAAACAAAAGTAGAAGTAATCTGGGAACACGAGTGGGAAAATATGAAAAATCAGACCCCGCACTCGGTCAGTTCCTACAGAATTACGACGCGCCCGAACCATTACCCCCTCGCGATGCTTTATACGGGGGGGCGCACCTGCGCGGTCAGGCTGTTTTCAGCGCGCAGCCTGACGAGACATTGGAATACGTTGACTTCTGTTCTCTGTACCCCAGCGTGAAYGTTGAGGGGGTTTATCCGTTAGGACACCCTAAAATAATCTACAGAGATTTTGACAAACTGAAAACTATTTCGGTTTCATCAGGGCTACGGTAGTACCACCGAGAAAATTGTTTTTCCTGGTCCTACCTTATAAGACATCGAACGGCAAGCTGGTGTTCACTCTCTGTAGAATTTGCACAGAAACAAACAATCAACACATGTTCTGTTTTCACAGCCAGCAGCAGAAAGCGCTCACAGGTGTCTGTAGTACGGTCGAGTTTAATGCCTCCCTGACTGCAGGCTACAGAGTGCTAAAGATTACACAGGTCTGGCATTTTGAGCAGAGGAGTGACAAACTCTTTATTGAATATATTAATAGGTTTCTGAAAAACAAACAAGAAAGCAGCGGATTACCCCCGGAAGTAACGGATGAGGAGAGCAAAGAGAAATATATTCGCRATTATTTCACACATCAGGGCATCCAACTGGACTGTGAAAAAATTCAACAGAACGCCGCGAGAAGACAGGTTGCAAAATTATGTTTAAATAGCTTCTGGGGAAAGTTTGCGCAGAGAAGCAATCAAACACAGACCGTGATTGTGAAAGAACCCAATCAGCTGTTTGACTTTCTGTTTTCAGGAAAATATAAAGTCTCCTATTTTCACTTTCTGAACACCGAAGCAGTCCTGATCCAGTGGAGTTTTAATAAACGCTGCATTTCTCCTCTGAATAGGACAGTCAACGTTTTCATAGCTGCGTTCACCACCACGCATGCGCGCCTCAAGCTGCTGAAACCTCTCCAGAAATTAGGACCGCGAGTGCTGTATATGGACACAGACTCGCTTATTTATACCATAAAACCGGGTGAAGAAACGTTACCGGTGGGAAATTATTTAGGCGATCTTACGAGTGAACTTTCTCCAGGAATCCAAGAATTTGCTTCTACAGGTCCAAAATTGTGCGTGTACAAAACGAGACAGGGGAAAGTCGTATTGCGCGTGAAGGGAATCACGCAGACTCGTGAATCCTGCACAAAAGTTAATTTTCACGGAATCAGTCAGCTGGTGGAGGGGGTTCTGGCTGGAGACGAATGCTGTCATGTTGAAATCCCGCAGCAGAACATAACACGTGACAAGAGAGGTTTTCTGCTCAGAACTTCAAACTTTAAAAAGACGTTCAAAGTAGTTTACGATAAACTTAGATTATTTAGTAATGGAACAACCTTGCCTTTCGGTTATTGATGTAAAATAAAAATAAAAACAAACAAAAAACAATGTCACTCATGCAAGTGGAACAGGTGGAATTTGACCCTAGACTCAAGACCCCATTCAGCTGCATCCTCGCAGGACCCAGCGGATGTGGCAAGTCTTATTTTGTAAAAAAAAGTTTTAGAAAATTGTCAGAGTATTTTAAATAATGTGCCTGAAAATATTGTATGGGTGTACGACACATGTCAATCGATTTTTGATGATCTGATGAAAGTGAATAAAAACATTAAATTTATCAAAGATTTGCCTGATTCTTTTGAAAATCCTATAGTATTTCCTTTTAATAAATCACATTTAGTGATTTTAGATGATGTTATATTCCAGGCAACGGATAATTTGGAAGTTGTTAAAATATTTACAGAGTATAGCCATCACAGAAATATGAGCGTATTTTTTCTTACACAGAATATTTTCCAGCAGGGTAAACACAGCAGAACAATCAGTTTGAATTCAAATTATATCGTGTTATTTAAAAACCCTCAAGACAAACTGCAGGCCGCGGTCTTAGCACGACAAATGTTTCCAAAACAACAAATGTTTTTTCTGGAATGCCTTCAGAACGCGACGGCCTCCAGCGCTTTTGGGTGTTTATTGATAGATTTAACATCGGCTTGT